ATATACGCAGATCCATTTCCTTCAATGTATGGGTTTTATTACAAAACTAAATTATTAAAGCATAGTAAGAAAAAGAAACTGAATATTGAACAAGGAATACATTATTTGAATTATATCTTCATAATCATCATCTCTCCATGGTGATAAAAGCAAAATATAAATAAAGATGATAATAATAATGATAATAATAATACCTCATTGATATTCCACTTTTTGCAGCATGCTGTTCCTAAAACAGCTCACAATAAACATATGCAGGATGGTTGGGTAAATAAAAAGGCATTTAAAAACAATCAATGGAAATAAAACTAAATCAGTGTGACAAAGATAGGATAAATTTACTTCACAATTAAACTATCATGGCATAATAAACAGATATCAAAACAAACTATTAAATAGTACCTTTAACGTATTCCATTTCAATCTTTTATTAACTCCCAGTGGTACAAAACACAGGGATCAAAAAGATGGGCACATTTCTTTGACTAACCTACATTCTGTGTTTTCCTTTCAGAAACCTCTAGAGGCGAATGATCATTTAACACCACATTGTAAACTTACTGATTTTCATTGTTGCTTGTCATGACAAAAAGGAGGTCAAAGATAAGCTTATTATCCAGTTCATCCTAGAATCCGAGCTTGGAAATAACAACACTGCCTGAAGGGCAGACTCAGCAGACTGGTCCCTCCATATGTTTAAACATAAAGCCAACAATCCTGTAGTGTTTTTAAAAAAATGAGACTGGGGGGGCATAGGGTAAAAAAAAGGGGGCATTTGTTGTCATGCCTGCCTTACAGCTAGACTCCATCTGGCTGTACTGTAAGAAGTGGTGAAACCAGGTCTTTCCTGCTAGCACGTAACTAATTATGACACACAAAACACATTTTACTCCTTGTTCTTGCTGCTGCTCAGAATCAAAACTGAAGTTTGCCTGGCTAGTAAATGACATTAGTTAGTAGAGGGGTGCAAAATGCCAAAAATCTATTTTGTTTCAGAATACAAAATTCGTATGCCCTCTGCTTTGTTTTGTAAGTGTTTCTAACCAATCTTGAGAGGTCCGTTTTGTTTTGAATTCAAAACACCAAAAATTTGTTATTATTGAGTCCCCTTGTTGGAGTTGAGAAGGGAAGGGGACAAGTATTGTGACGGCGCGAGTGGCGCCACCTATGTATAGAACTGTTAGTTGTAAGATTTAAACTGTTGTATCATGCTTAATCTTGCCCCTTTTTCCATGTTTCTGTATATTTGTATGGATTTGTTACTTGTAGCTGTCAATCAGCACTGTTTGGCTCCACCTCTTCCTGCAAGAGGGGAGAACTTCCTTTTCTTTTCATTCTGCCATGAGAGTTCCTGCAACATGGACGTGAGTAAGAGACTTCATTCTTAAAGGACCCTGTTTTAAGTCACCTCTTAGCACCAATTCTGAAGTTTTTTACCCCTGGGACTCATGCTTTATGTCCAGATCATCCTGGACGGATACTGAGGAGACCCAGGCGCCTTCAAGCCAGTTCTTTTGGCACCAGAGGAAGATCCTGAATCTTCAAAATAGGCCATTTGAATTGGGGTTGTGGTTTTGCTCCGGCACTCACAACCATCAAGGAAGAGGAAACCTGGTGAGGCTTCTCAGCTTCAAACCCCTTGGACCCAGGACTAATAGAGACTGTAAAGT